GTTACCAATCTGAAATATCTCTCATAGTCTGTGTTGTTTAGGTAAATAAGCCTACCAGGATAGGTGTTCACCATTCTATGTATTCCTTATAGAGCTCAGGTGGAAGCATATCTTCTCCAGGAGCTTTATTTGATTTCATGCAGGAAATAAAGGCCATTGTCTCGTTACAGGAGACTAGTGGCCATTCAGGTAGGTTTGAGAAATCCACACACACTGCTGGTAGAAGAAGAAGAAGAGTTTGGATTTGATATCCCGCCTTTCACTCCCCTTCAGGAGTCTCAAAGCGGCTAACAATCTCCTTTCCCTTCCTCCCCCACAACAAACACTCTGTGAGGTGAGTGGGGCTGAGAGACTTCAAAGAAGTGTGACTGGCCCAAGGTCACCCAGCAGCTGCATGTGGAGGAGTGGAGACGCGAACCCGGTTCCCCAGATTACGTGACTACCGCTCTTAACCACTACACCACACTGGCTGGTACATGTGATTGCCCAGATTGACACCAATGTATGTTGAAGAAATTTTTACATAACCCAACCAGAGGCAGGAATGATGATCTCACTTCATTTAAACCCCGGGCTACCAGTTCTCATAATTTGTATCCCCCCTGCTCCATTACTGCTAGTCCCAGTTCCTGCCACTGGATTTTTGTATATTCAGCTCTCTTGTTTTTGAGCAGACTCTTGTATTTCAATCTACCTTTGATCAAATTTTCCATGGATTCTCATGCAATCCCTTAGCCAGAACTTTCGCTTTGCATTGACCGTCAAACCAACCATGGTATGTTGATTGTGTGTAGTTATTAATTGTAGATGTTATCAAATAGGGCCTGTGTTCTGTTACAATTTGCTGGAAGACATCAACAAGATTTGGAGATTTGATGCAAGCTTTATCCGATGATACTATATAGTGTCTCTTGACTATCGCTGCTCAATCTGTGAGACCAACGGCAGTTAAAAACAAACAAGAAGCATTTTAAAAAGCAGATTGTGCAAGAGAAGATTGGGAGCTGGGGGGCTGGCATTTGTGGTTGGATGACAATTGCTATCAGTCACAGCCAGCATGGTCAAGGATCAGTGGACTTCCAGTCCCACACTATCTGGAGGGCCACAGGTTTCCTACCTCTGTTTTAGAGAATGGAAAAGCAGGGTATAAAACTTTGATAAATTTAGACAGTGAAATATGTATGCATGTGTTTAAAGCCAAAAATTTCAGTTTAACCAGCTTGCAGATCTGGTTGCTTGTAAGTAGAAACATCAAAATAAAGGGAGAAAATATTCCCTCACCTAGCAGTAGAAAACAAGCTCAATTATATAGTGTGCTGCCAATCAATTTGGTTTTCAAACACAGTGCAGCTGCAGCCTATGGCTAAGCCTTTGCCAAACAACAACAGTTTAATATTTCTAGTGCCAGAATCTCATCTGTAAGAGCACACAGCTGATCTGTAATGTGAGATATTGCCTCTTATCTTCTTGAACACCAGCTCATTTTTTCAATGCATCTAAAAAAGAGAGAGTCAGTAATGAAGTCCTCAGATGGTAAATTAGAACTGGGAAGAAATGGGACATGTTAACTGTTAACGATGGCGGAAGAATGAATTCATATTAAAATTGAATTATATGATGAGGAAAGTACTCTGTGTCAGGTTCCACTCTTTGCTAGCAATCCCATCAGATGATTAAGTGGGGAAGATCAACCAAATATGACTGTCTCTTGTGGCAGAAAATGTCATGGATAAGAACGTAAGGATGAACCAGGTAGGTGAGACCAAAATCAATCTAGTTCAGGTGTGGGGAACCTTTGCTCCCCTGTGCCAGAGATGTTGCTGAACGACAGCTCTCATTTATCCCAGCTGTTAGGGCTGACGGAAGTTGATGTTCAGCAATATCTGGAGGGCCAAAGATTCTCAACTGCAGATCTCTTCCCACCATTCTGTTTCCAGTAGTCAGAGGACTCTGGAAAGCCCTTTTGCAGAGCATAAAGGAAAGTGCTGTCGTTGAACTATGGGGTGGAGGGAACCTGGAAGCAACCGAAACTTGGAGCATCTTTAAAAATCAACCACTGGGAATTCCTTTGCTGAATGTTCCATCTATTCCACAATGCTTGGGGTGGGGGGAGAAGTGTCATTAAAGACCTAAAGTAAGCATGAAGGATGATTTGCAGCACTGTACAGGATTTGTTTATTTACAAGAGGGACTTGCATCAAAACGTTATGGCGTTGGGAAGTTTCCCGTGTTCAGTAGCAGCTGGCAGGTGTTGCTTACCAGGATTCCCAAAATGAGGGTGCTGCTTCTAGCTGATAGGGAGAAGGGGAGGGCCAAGGTGGTAGAGAGACTGGCCCAGGGTAAACCTTGGCATTCTCCTCAGCCTGCTGACACCTCCCTCTTGCATGTGGCTGGGGCTTTTTTCAACAGTACTCACAGCCTGAACATTGGGAATAGAGTGAATTATTGAATGAAGTCATTTCCATTGGCAAACACAAGGCAATCAGCAAAACAAAACGATCGCATCACGTACAGCAAGTTATTGGCAAATTATTAAAGAAAATGTCCAGATCATAATAGTCCCACAGAAAACCGCTTCCTCTGCAGAAGAAACAATAGAATGAAAGATATAGCTGGTCTTTGCTTGCTTAGGATAGACTTAAGACCCCCTGAGTTTATTTATTTTTATAACTAGGTCCCAATTTCAATCCCCAACATCTTCAGGTAGGGCTACGAGTGGTCCCTGCCTGAAACCTTGGAGAGCTCTTGCTAGTCATAGAACAGGGGTCAGCAAGGTTGCCTGGGCCAAGTTGGTCCCATGGAGATCCCTCCGATCGCGTGTGTGAGCATGTGCGCCTGCGATTTCCGGTGTCTGCACATGTGCAGACGCAATTTCCGGTGCTGCGGAAGCAAGTCCCAACACCGTGCTGTGCCGGTTTAGCGCAGTGCACGAGCAGGCAGCTCAGTTCGGGGGCGGCTCGTGGGCCAGTCAAACGACCTCTGTGGACTGCTTCCAGCCCACGGGCCTTAGGTTGCTGACCCCTGTCATAGAAAATAATAATAATAAATTTTATTTATATCCCGCCCTCCCCAGCCGAAGCCGGGCTCAGGGCAGCTAACAACACTAAAATAGTACAACATTATAAAAACATTATAAAAATTAATTAAAATCAAAATTGATGGCAACCATAAACTAAAGTTTTGTAAAGATTGCCAAAGGAGGGAGTCAGGCTGCGCCCTGACCAAAGGCCTGGTGGAACAGCTCTGTCTTGCAGGCCCTATGGAAAGATGTCAAGTCCTGCGGGGCCCTTGTCTCTTGTGACAGAGCATTCCACCAGGTTGGAGCCGCAGCCGAAAAAGCCCTGGCTCTAGTTGAGGCCAGCCTAACCTCTCTGTGGCCTGGGACCTTCAAGATGTTTTTATTTGAAGACCGTAAGTTCCTCTGTGGGGCATACCAGGAGAGGCGGTCCCGTAGGTACGAGGGTCCTAGGCCGTATAGGGCCTAGTGATCTAGATGGACTTTTGGTCTGATTTGGCATAAGGCAGCTATCTGTGTTCCCAATAGTAAAACTCTCTTCTCAAGGCAGCTTACAAAATAAAAACAATATAAAAGTAACCACAAGTAATTCATTGGTACTAACCTTCTCTCTCCCGTTCTCTGTGCCTCCACATAACACTTTATTGCCATCTATCATGGATGCTGTAGTAGAAATTTCTGCATTGCAGGGGGTTGGCAAGATGATCACCAGGATCCCTTTCAACTCTATGCTTCTATGCTGATACTCCTGGTGCTTGTTCGTGCTTGCAAGTTTTTCATAGTATCCGTACAACATTGCCTGTATCAAAATGCCATCCCACCGCACCTTTTATTCCTGGTTTACCATTTCTGTGGACAATCTGATGAGCTAAAAAAATCGAGACCACAGTAAACAGCCATGTGGAAGCACCTTCCACTTTGCTGTATTTCAGTGCTTCCTCAGCTGTGCTCCTGCAGAACAGAACTGCTCCATGCACCTATGGGTTCTTGTCACAGAAATCAAGTAATGGTGACCTTTTCCCAGCTCTGCATGATACTGGATTTTCTAGATATAATCTCCACAAAAACAGAGTACAGAAACTGAGATTAGCACATTTAGTTGACAGCTATCACACCTGATATCAAGGGTCTTTACTAAAGCCATCAGGCTCAACCATCACATTAAATTTCATAATTAGGCTCATTTTGTTATTTTTATTTATCTTTTGTCCTTGCTAGTGTGATTAAATAAATATTGTTTTTATTATTGCAATTATGACAATCATTATTATTTCTTTAGATACGTAGACTGCAATATAACCCTTAATTGTTATCTGTTAATATTGTCCCAAGTTTGAATGATGGCATAAACTACTTTTAATGTATTTTAAATTGTTGTGTCCTGCCCTGGAATCTTAGGGTGATTGGTGGGCAATAAATCAACAACAACAGCCATTTTTCTTGGAGTTTTGCAGAGAACAATGTGATATCCAGGTGCTCCTCTGTGAATTGCAAAGGTTTGGGAATGATTTCTGTATTTGAATCCAAGATCCAAGTCTAAAATTTTGCCCTGCCCCTTTAAGGCCACTCTGTTCAGGACTCTGGTGATATTGGCAGAATTGCTGAGATGTTACAGAATCTGAAGCTAGCTGCTGGAGGTCTGCCAGCCGCTGCTCCTAGCATGCCTGGATTTACTCTTCTCTAGCTGTGCAAGCACACAGAAGGCCAAACTGATAACTCTCAATTGCATTTGGCTGTAAGGGCCCACAATATCCCCCGCCTGCAATTCAGCTATAATTAATACAATTGCTACCATCAAGAAACAAAGTTTAATGGATAGGGCAATTTAAGGAACGTTTCTGGTGTGGCTTGAAGGAGCTAAGAAGATGTCTTGAAGAATATATGGATGTGTAATTGATTTACAGGCTTAGGAAGCTGCCTAATCCTTTCTTGGGATTGTCTCACTGCAATAGCTGCCCAGGCAAGAATCTTCCCCAGCCTTGCCTGGGGATGCTGGGGATTGAACCCAGGACCTTCTCCATGCAAGCAGATGCTCTGTCACTGAGTCACAGCCCTTTCCCAACAGACACAGTGGTCAGGAGACAGATGCTGGAGCCTTTGCACAAACTGCATTTAACTGTGTTTTGCCACATTTAAGGGAGGGATCATGGCGCAGTGGTAGGGTCCACACTTTGCATACTGAAGGGGCCAGTTTCAAACCTCAATATCCAGAGCCATCTTTCCTATTGGGCTTACTGGCACGGTGCCAGATATGCTTAAGTTGGCCATGTCAATATCTCCAAATAGTTGCTGGAAAAGGGATCCTTCTCCGGGAAACCACTGCTAGGGATGGAAGTGACATGGCAGCGCTGGAGGAGGGAAAAACTTAAACACGTAGCAGAGTTTCTAAAAAACAGACCAGAGGCAATTGTACTTCATTCAGCGGAGCTTTATTTGCAACTGAAGGCAAATGAGCATAATGGTCACAAATCTAATATAATCAGGATAAAAATCCAGTTGCAGCACTTACAAAAGCTTATAAACTTATAACAAGACTAAACCTTAACACTAAGCATACTATGTACAGAACACCACACCAGAAGGAAGAGAGATAGAAAGAGATAGTAAACCCCAGGCTCCTTCTGGTTTATATTTATAATTACCGTATTTTTCGCCCCATAGGACGCACCAGCCCATAAGGCGCACCTAGTTTTTTTTTGGGGGGGGGGAATAAAGGGGGAAAAATTATTTTCCCCCCAGGTGCGGGGCTGGGGAAGCCCGAGCTTCCCCGGACCCCAACCCCCAGAACAGGCAGCTCTCCGCAAGAGCTCAACCCCCAGAACAGGCAGCTCTCCGCAAGAGCTCAACCCCCAGAATAGGCAGCTCTCCGCAGCGCCGGGCTCCCACCGCTTGTGGAGAGCTGCGCGAAGCCTGGAGAGTCTGAGAGCGATGACGAAGTTGCACGCAGCTTCGCCATCGCTCCCGGAGCTTGCGGGGCTGGGAGTGGGGGAAGCCCGAGCTTCCCCCAACCCCAGCCCCCAGAACAGGTCCGAGAGCTTGCCGGGCTGGGGGGATAGCTTCCTGAAGCCTGGCGAGCGCGAGGGGTCGGTGCGCACCGACCCCTCTCGCTCTCCAGGCTTCAGCGAAAGCCTGCATTCGCCCCATAGGACGCACACACATTTCCCCTTCATTTTTGGAGGGGGAAAAGTGCGTCCTATAGGGCGAAAAATACGGTAATTGGAAGAGATGAGAACCAGTTCAAGCCAGCTGTACTCAGCTTCTCTGAAGGTACAACCCAAACAATCAAGAAGCTTCTTTCGTACAGAGAAGCTTCCAGTTGTTTCCAGAACCCTCTTGAATTAATCAGAATAGGAAAGAGCTCTACCCATTGGATCAATACTTTCTGCACTAAGAAATGCAAACTGACAGGAAGGATATGTCAATGTCCATTCTCTGTTTCTCTTTCATTCCAGAATGCAGTGAATAAAACCCACATTTCCAAAAACCAGCAAGTGTCAACATTCATTTCCTTTTGAGCCCTCAAAGATTAGTTTATTTGGAAATAATGTGCCATTTTTTTCAGGGGAGTGATATATAAAATTTATGAAATAAAATATATGTAGAAGATTTACATGAGTTTTAATCTGTTCTTAGTCTATCACTGATCTTAATTATTATTAGAATGTTTTAAATAGCTGTTTTAACTGCTTTTATTGATAATTTTATTGTTTTATTCTTTTGTGAACCACATCGAGGTGGTTTTTTTTAATAAAAATACCAAGCAGTATATAAATCTTATGAAATAACATGAAATAAAATTAAAATGTTGGACAGTGTTCATCCAGGAAATTGCAATGCAGACATGAGCTACATTTAGTACATTAATTGTTCATTTTAAATCAGATTCTGTCACTACCACCCTCATATAACATAATAAAATTACTGTAGGGTCAGCTGGTGAGAAAGACCATGTTAATCTCAACAATTTGCCAGTTAATTTCCTCCAAAACTGATTAATAACTGGACAGGTCCAAAATATATCAAAGATTTCTGCTGAGAAGGCCAAAGATAATCAAATACACCATAGTTTGTTTTATAATTTTTTTGCAAATGCTGTGATATTGATATATTTTGTGGAAGTTTTCCTTCAGTTATGCAGGGCTCAGTCTAGAAGATAGAATATTTTTCCACATCTCGACCCATTAATCCCGTAAAATAAATTGTACTATATATTTTCCACATATCTCCCTAAAAAGATCATCCTTTTTCAATGAGTTTAATAGCATTAGATAAATTTTAGTAGAAGAACAATGGGAGATACATTTTATTATCTGTAATTTGAAAGGAGTTTCAGCTGTTATACCTCCATATTTCCTGGTTAAAACCATTGTCATGTCTCAGCTAAATTAAGTTAAATGGACTAGTCTGATCCCACCTAATAATTCCAAAATTTCTTCCAGGGATGAAACATCTCATTGTTAAACTAGCACCACCACCACTACCTTGAACTTACTCAGAGAGAAGTATTACCAAATAACCCCACATAATTCTCAAATAAGTAACTGAATTATGTGATTGCTTTTAAACATTTTTAGACATTAAAAAGTTTTTAAATGTCTTAAATATGCTTTTATTATTTTAATTTGTATTGCTTTAATATTTTGATGTTTGTCCCCTGGGGTGCCGGGGAGGGGAAGGGGGGATCAAAATTTGATAACTAGTTAGTTAACTAAAGATGTTAATGTATATTAGGTCTCTGATATATGTAGGCTCTTTGGTGGGGATGGGCGAGTAGGGGCTCGTTCTATATTGATTTTGGGTTGCTTTTATTCCTAGGTTATATGTGAATCTGTGCCTTTTTATGTCGGTGGCACTTACTGTATAGAGATTGTTTTTAATTTTATTCTTGTTTGTATTTTGCTGGTTTTGATGCTTTGCAAGCCAGATTTCCAATCTTGTTTGAACAGGTTGAACCTCATTCCATTTAGAAACCAGGATTTCTCCTCAGGGAATTAGATGGCAACTGAGATTTCTTCTAGTTCTGTAATTCGCTGACATTGTAAACGAGTTGATGTAAAATTGTACCAAAACCACACCAGGGGAATGCAGGGGTGGGGACATGGTTTAGCATTGCCCTAACCAGCCAAGAGAGTCTGATGGGGGAAGGACCATAGTTCAGTGGTACATTCTATTTGCCTGCAGAAGACCTCAGTTTCAGCCCCTGAAATCTCCAAATAGGGCTGTGGGTTTCCTGGTTCCTAAGCAGGGAGTAGCGATGTTGAATGATTTCAACCAGTTTGTATTTTTAAGGAAAACAACCTGATTTGCGCATGGATTGGAACACAATTACTCTGCAGTTGCTGCATTTTGTTACATGGTTCTCAGCTCAAAAAAATTAGCAAAATGTGTGCCAAAATGCACAGTTTAGATTATAATGTGTACAGAAATGCTCTTTGATGATGCAGTGTGTAGAAATATGAGTAGTGTGTGTGTGTGGGGGGGGTGTTTACAAAAACACATATTTTGTCAAAGCATGGAAACGGGTAATTTATAATTGAACACATGGAAAATTGGCATGGGCTAGAAATAAAGTGATCTCTCCATCCCCATCAGGGAGACAGAGAGAGCTGAAGACCGAGGGTAATGTGTTTGGAAGTACCGTATTTTTCGCTCTATAAGACGCACCAGACCACAGACGCACCTAGTTTTTGGAGGAGGAAAACAAGAAAAAATATATTCTGAATCTCAGAAGCCAGAACAGCAAGAGGGATCGCTGCACAGTGAAAGCAGCAATCCCTCTTGCTGTTCTGGCTTCTGTGATAGCTGCACATCCTGCATTCGCTCCATAAGACGCACACACATTTCCCCTTACTTTTTAGGAGGGGAAAAGTGAGTCTTATAGAGCAAAAAATACGGTATTTTTAAAGGACCTGGAAATTACTTTAGGGATTGGGAGATGGGGAACATGAGTTTGCAATGCATGGGTGCTAGTCAATAGGCAACTCCCAAAGCTGGTTTTTCCCCATTCAGGCTGAACCACCTTGAAATCCTGCAGAACCAGTTTTGCCACAGCTCTTCTACAGGTAAGGAAAATAATGTAATTTGTTTACAGAGCAGTGAGAATGCTGTTAAATGGTCTCCGTCACTTGTCAAATGTCATGTCTGATGTCAGCCAAAAATAACATTGGCATCAACCTTTTTCACCTCAGATATGGTACTGTTTAAAGTAATCAATGCACTGTGCATACCAAGAAGTGTTGGTACCTTGGAGGAGAGAGTCTGCTGTTGTGATCAGTTCCTGCTTGCAGGCATCTCATAGACATCTGGCTGGCCTCTGTGAGAACAGAATGCTGGACTAGATAGGCCTAGGGATCTTCTTACGCTCCTAAATATTGCATAATGAAGGGTTGAATGTTCATATATAGCTCTCCTCCGGTGAATTTGTAGCCATGGAGGGGTGCAGAGCTGTGTGTGTGTTGACCTTGTTCTGTCCACTCTAACCTCCTGGCGTTCAGCAAGAAGGTCTGAAGTGGGGTTGTAAACACATTTGACTTGGGGCTCCTCCAGATGACCTATTTATTGAGCATCCCCCTGATTTGCTTGCATCAAGCTTATGGAGAGGGTAAATCAGGCATAGGTAAACTTGGCCCTCCAGATGTTTTGGGACTACAACTCCCATGATCCCTAGCTAACAGGACCAGTGGTCAGGGATGATGGGAATTGTAGTCACCAAATGTCTGGAGGGCCGAGTTTGCCTATGCCTGGGTTAAATGATATCCAGTCATCCTTGAACATTTGTTCTGATTTGTTTATGGGGCAGTTATACAGCAATGAGCGTTCATCCCACATTCATTTTGATTTGCTTGTGGGGTGTTGATAGATATTCCTCTTAGTCATTTGTTCATCCTACGCTTTGCGGTGCATTTCCCTGGCACAACAAAAGTCTGTTTATTTTTAAAAAGTGGATTTGTTGTGCCAAGGTGACAGAGGGCATTAATCCACTTGAATTGTGCAAACCTAAAGTATGAATAATTCTCTGTAAAATAGTAACAGTCCAGAGGCACCCTTTAATACAC